CTCTTCCTTCCTTTCATTTACCCTTCTTCCTTTTTCCTCTCCTTCACTCCCTCTCTTCTTTATCCTCCCTCCTTCCCTCTTCCTTCCTTTCATTTACCCTTCTTCCTTTTTCCTCTCCTTCACTCCCTCTCTTCTTTATCCTCCCTCCTCTCTTCCTTCCTTTTCCCTTCCCTCTCCCTCCCTTATCCTCCCTCTTCCTTCTTTCCTTTTCCTCCACTTTCCTCCTTCCCTCCCTTCTTCTGGCTCAGGATGTCCCACTCTGGCTGCGAAGGCATTTCAGAAGTCGCCCCTTCCCTTTTAAAAACCCTGAGAAAAACCCCTTCCACCCCTTTTAAAGGAACCAGGAGAGGCTGCCTTAAAACCAGCATTTAAGACCCCCGAGTTGCCCAATCGTGCCAATTTCCATGGAAGGCCGACATTGCTAGCCCTTCTCTTTGGCCAAAAGCCACCTGATCCTCGGCCGTGCGTCGGCAAAAACCTAATCTTTGAAGGGGAGGTGAATGCACAAGCGGCTACAGGGATGTGCTGGGACTCAAAAGTCAAACGTTGCAAAGGCTTCTCGCCCAAGGCAGCCCCCTGACCCGGTGGGCTATGGAGGGCTGGTCGAAGGAGGTGATGCGAAGGACCTCCGGGAGGAGGAACTGCAGGAGGTCTGCTAAACAGCCACCGCAAATCATCTTAATCTAGCCGTCAGCAGGAAGCTGGGAGGAAAAAAAGGGGAAGCCATAAGGCTGTTGAGACGTGCCATCCCTCTTAACCCAAACGAGGAAGTTGAAATGACTCTCTTGCTGCAAGAAAAGGGGGAACTTTCTCCTCCAGCATTTCTTAAGTTCCAACTCGCCGGGGAAGGGCAAGCAAACACCTGGCCTGTGCTGGGGGTTGAGTGGGGTTTGTTTTTTTTTAGCCAATTCCCTCGTGCCTTTCACTCGAAGTGCCTTTTATCTAATCAGTGGCTCAACCTTGAAGGGACGTTGGGCTGGAAAGTCCCAGGAACTGCCACGGGCGAAGGTTGAAATCCCTCCCGTGGTCTGCGATTCCATCTAACGTTGGAGCGGAGGGCGATAAGATATATATTGAATGAAGTCCGGGATTTAATTTCCAAGCAATGTTAGCCACTTCCAAGATGAGTAGACTTCAATTCCCCAGAATTCTGAGCGTTGGGAGCCCACCGATCTTTCAAACGGCTTGAGAAAACACAGCAATAAAACATTTTAATTTCTCTACCTGGTGCATTGTTGCATCTGTAAACAACAACGCACAACAGAGCCACGACGGGAGGCAAACCAAACCGCCGTGAGATCTGAGCCTCAACGCCACCTGGCTTCCAACTACTTGGCACCCCAAAAAAAGAGTTTCAAATTTTGTCGTCCTCCTCGCCGTCAGCTGCTGTTTAAGAGATCTTCTTTCAGAGTTTCTCGTGCGTTTAAGAGAATAGGCAGAGCTACGAAGTTTTCTGGACTATGGGAACAAAACCTGGGTTTCTAAACATACCTACACACTGGGTGGTGGTGGTGGAGGGAACGGTGGGAGTCTTGGGAAGAATGAAACCCAGCATTTAATGCAAGGGCTGCTTTAAGCCTTGTGCCTGCTGGCTGGGGAATTCTGGGAGTTGAAGTCCACAAGGCTTTAAAGTGGCCAGGTTTGGAGACCCCTGAGGAATTGTGGGACTTGAAGTCCACAACTGGTTGGGGAATTCTGGGAGTTGGAAGTTACCACAAGGGGCCACGATTGGAGACACCTGGTTTAAGAGAATGACCTCTGCACTCGGTGTGGGGGGGGGGACTGTCCAGTTGTATTCCACCCAGGGGGGTGTTCTTCGGACTCCTAACAGGTTGGCCTCTGCTGGGACAGAAGCCCACCCAGGAGGGGGTTGGGTGGGTCCCACAGCTTGGTTCTTTCAAATAAATTTGAAAATAATAAAGAAAAAAGAAAATCAAACTGGTCTTTTGAGGAAGAAAACCGTGCGTTCTTGTTCCGCCTCTCTCCGTTCACTTACAGAAGTCTCTCGATCTGGTTCTCATCCTTGGCAAATCCTGATATTTGGATCTGCTCCTTCCTTAAAATAAACTCTTCGGAGGTGTTTTCAGGCTGGTTGCAAGATCTCTTTAATTCTCCTCTCTACTCTCAGGTGCTCCTGTTGGCTGAATTCTAACAAAAGATGCTTTCTAGCTAAGTCAAAAGATGAAGGTAGTCGGATCTCTTAGTGTAGGAAGACTTGGGATTTCTAGCATTAATAGCCCGTATAAATTGGACCTCGGTTGCCTAGCTCAGTGGTCTCCAAGCTTGGCAACTCTGTATAAATTGGACCTCGGTTGCCTAGCTTAGTGGTCTCCAACCTTGGCAACTCTGTATAAATTGGACCTCAGTTGCCTAGCTCAGTGGTCTCCAACCTTGGCAACTTTAAGACCTGTGGACTTCAACTTCCAGAGTTAGGGTTAGGGTTAGCAAAGCTGGCTGAGGAACTCTGGGAGTTGAAGTCCACAAGTCTTAAAGTTGCCAAGGTTGGAGACCACTGGCCTAGCACATCTTCCTTGCGGGTCTGAAG